CCCGAGTCTGACTGAAGACTCTCCCTCACCCTCCCCTCCCCTTCTCACTCCTCCCTCTCCCCATCCACCTCCCCCTCTCCCTGTTTTGCTTTCACTCTCTCTGTCCTGCTTCCTCTCTCCCCGTTCTGTTTCGTCTCCCTTTTTATCTTTCTCGTTATCTCCCTTTCCTTTTCTCTTGCTCTTTATTCCCCCCACTTCCTCTTCTCCTTTCCTAGAAGTCTCCCTCCTTCCCCCTTCTTCTTTTTTCCTCTCCTTTTCTATCCCTTTCTCTTCCTCCTTACTCCTTTCCCCTTACCTCCTCTTTCCCTTCATTTTCCCCCGGTCCTTCCCGCTCCCCCCTCTTCTCCTTTCTCCTACTTCTCATCTCTTCTTCCCATGCCCCCTCCCTTTCTCTGTCCTTTCCCTTCCCTACTCGTTCTTCACCTTCCCCTTCCCTCACTTCTCCATTTCCTCTGTCTTCCCTCTACCTCTCCTGCCCCCCCTCCCCCCTTCTTCTTCCTCTCTCCAACTCCCTGTCCTCCCTCTCCCTTTTCCCTTTCCTCCCATCTCCCCCTCCTCTTCCTCTCTCCTTCTCCCCCCTTTCCCTTTCTTCTCCCCTTCTCCCTCTCCTTCCCTCCCATCTACCTCTCCCCTTCCTCTCTCTCCCCTTCTCCCTCACCCTATTCCACCTGCTCTTTCCTCCCCACCTCCTCTCCCTTCTCCCCCCCCCCTTCTCACCCACCCGCCCTGTTCCTCGAAGGCGTCGAATTGTTCAGTGGCATCCGATACCCTTGATTCAGGAGCGGGACCAAAACATAAACAAATGAGCGCGAAGAAGCTCCTTTCTGTTACTGCCACCGGATCGATTCCTTTGTTCCTTCGCCGAACAGATTCGGGGGGAAGTGAAAAATTAAAGGATTTATGGCGGATACGTAGAAAGGCATTCTTTTAGATTGTATTGATATGCTTTTCTTTTTGAAAGAGATGAGAGAATGGGAGAGGAGAGAGGAGAGGGAAGAAGAAGGAGAGAAGAAGGAGAGAGAAAGGAGAGGGAGAGAAAGAGGAGAGATAGAAATCAAATGAGAGAGGGAGAGGAGAGAAGAAGGATAGGGAGAGGAGAGGAAGAAGAAGGAGCGGGAGAGGAGAGGGAGAAGAAGGAGAAGGAAAGGGAGAGGAGAAGAATGAGAGGAAGAGGGAGAAGAATGAGAGAGAGAGAGAGAGAGAGAGAGAGAGAGAGAGAGAGAGAGAGAGAGAGAGAGAGAGAGAGAGAGAGAGAGAGAGAGAGAGAGAGAGAGAGAGAGAGAGAGAGAGAGAGAGAGAGAGAGAGAGAGAGAATCTGGACGAGGGAAGAAGGGAAGGGAAGTGAAGACACACACACACGCTCGCACTCACTTACTCATTCACACACACGCACACTCAAACACACAGGCAGGCACTCACACTTACGGGCGTAAACGGACGTACTGCACATGGCATCAGCACAAGTGACATCATCGAAGCTGACGTCAGCAGACGGCAACTTCCTGGTTATGGGGTCACCTCGCAGATTCGCAAATGTACAAACGTGCCATGTACACAATTTTGCAAGTGCTCTCCATATGCAGCGAGTCCCAGATCTCCACATCGCTGCAACAGATCATACGATAAGGTCAACACAGGTCACAGAATCATGTGAATGCAATCGTAGGAGGTCACCTTTGCGTGCACCAATTCGATCCTCCACATTGTTTACAACGATCAGCTGATTTTTACAACGATCAGCTGTTTTCAGTTGGAACGTTTTTTTTTAATGGGATGGTTGTCTTCTGACATTTAGTTATCAGTTCTTTTTCGTGACAGATTGATTATAAATTTTGTAGGCATTGCCGTATTTGATTCTCTATATTTTTTTTTATTACGTAATATTTTAAAATATAACTCTACGGTCTTGGTACTTCGTGTTTCAGGATTCCCGTCATTGTCTGCGAGTCACAGTGTTCTGTTGGGTACGAACAGTCTCGTAAAAGTGCTGCAAATACTGTAAATTATTTCAGAATAAGCGCAAAATAAAGGAATGTAACTAAGTTATTTATATGTATATATTGTCTACACAAAAACGCACACACACATGTATATAATGTATATATACATACTCAAATTACATATGGAAAAAAAATATTGTGCAGGTAGTTAAAGAACAAAATAAAGTAATGATGTAGTCGTAAGATTTAAGTTACTAGAAAGTCGGCAAAATACAAATTGAATAAATGAATAACAAATAACAAATGTAAACTATGTAGTGGGTAATATACCGGCACACATGTTATATAAGGAATGATATATTATATATATATATATATATATATATATATATATATATATATATATATACATATACATATACATATATATATATGTATGTATGTATATATATACATTACACACACACACACACACACACACACACACACACACACACACACACACACACACACACACACACACACACACACACACACACACACACACACACACACACACACACACACACACACACACACACACACACTCACACTCACACACACACACACACACACACACACACACACACACACACACACACACACATATATATATATATATATATATATATATATATATATATATATATGTATATATATATATGTATATATATATATATATATATATATATATATATATATATATATATATATATATATATATACGTATGCATATATATATATATATTTTTTTCTTATTACTTTTTCTTTTCATTTATTTACTTTTCTTTCCCCTTTTCTTTTCTTTCTTTTTTCTTTTTTCTTCCTTCCTTTTTTTCTTTTTATTTCTCTTTTTCTTTTCTTCTTCTCTCTTTCTCCTCTGTTGTATACTGCCACATGATATAGTAAAAAAAAAATAGGATTATTCAATCTCATCCAAAGACATACTTACGTTATATTCCATATTTGTGATGAAACAGCAATGTAACATTATCATTAATTGTATCAGCTGGTCCAGAGCCATGTTGTTGACCGTTGTAGTAAATCGTAGTCATGGTAGTAGTAGTAGTAGTTGCAAAATTGTTTTTGGTATTGTTACCATTATCATTATCATGCATTCAGTTAATTTTTATTATCAATATTATTGTTAAACTACTGATGATGATGATAGTGGTCATAATCCTTACAGCTTTTACAGCAACATGAAAAAATATGATACAGCTGAACTAATGTTACTTTACAACAACTACTATTACTTCTGCTAGAACAGTAGTACTACTACTGGTGCTACTACTACTACTTCTACTTCTACTATCACTATTACAGTATTGCTACTATTGCTGCTGTTGCTACTACCACTACTACCATTATCTACTACTACTACTACTGCTGCTGCTGTTGCTGCTGCTGTTGCTGCTACCACTATCTACTACTACTACTGCTGCTGCTGCTACTACCACTACTACTATTATTATTATTATTATTATTATTATTATTATGAATAATGGTGATGGTGACATTGATGCTGATGATTATGATAATGGGAATAACTGCAACGCAATCATAACAATAATAACAGTTATGGTAACAGGGGCGGGTCCAGAGAATTTTCTGGTGAGGGCACAGGGGGTAACAACAATAAATCTGTGGGGCCGCTCAAAAGAAACAAAAAGTAAGACTGTCCATTCAATATTTATATTGTACAGTTACACATTGTTTATATTTTTATCTTGCTGTGTGAGTATATATCATTATATGTTATATATATATTTTATATATATATATATAAATATATATTAATATATAAAGGGTCAATGACTCTTGGGTAGGTGGGGAGGGGCACACGGGGTGGCCAATCAGATTGCAGGGAGGCAGGTGTCTGAATAGTAATGATGATGAGGACAAGGCTAATGAAAACCATTATCATGATAATGATGACAATAATAAAATGATAATACTGATATGATAATGATGATAATGGAGCTGCTACTGCAGTCACCACCATCATTAAACATCATCACTATCATAACTGTTATTATCCCTAATTATATTGCGTTTTTGTCCCTATCGTCACAGAATACATCACCTCATCATCACACACCACTAACACCACCGCCACAGTCAACACCACATTCCCCTCCGCCACAAACCCCACACCACACCCTCGGCACGAGTCAGTGACCCCTTGGCGTGGTGGGGCCGCGGGGAGGGAGCGAGAGAGGGCGGTGGGGTGGAGGGGGAAAGGGTGAGAGGGGGAGGGGGTGAGTGCCAAAAACAGTTTATCTTAATTTAACGGAGATGTGGAACATTCAAGAGGATTGAGTGCCTCGGCGTGGCTCTCTTCGCACCAATTCCCTCGTTGGCACTTTGTCCAGGTTGGCTGATGGCGCTGGCACGAAGGCTCTGGGGGCTCGGGCCGGGTATTGGGAGGTGTTATATATATATATATATATATATATATATATATATATATATATATATATATATATATATATATATATATATATATATATAGACACACAAACACATACACACACATGTGTATGAGCGTGCGCGCATGTATGTGTTTTTGTGTTTATGTGCGTGTACTTGTGCACATGTATGGAATTCATGATGAACAGATTGCAACAGGAACAACGAAGGGAAGGGCAAGAAAACGCACGAATATACCGAAGGCCTTTTCGCTATTGCTTCGTCAGGGCGAAGGGCGAAGCAATAGCGAAAAGGCCTTCGGTATATTCGTGTGTTTCTTGCCCTTCCCTTCGTTGTTCCTGTTGCTACTTGTGCACATACATACAGTATCTATATATAGGTAGAGCCATCGAGAGACAGAGATATTTGTGTGTCATTGCATTTGTGTATAAATGTATATATTGCACGCCTCTGTATACATGAATGTGTTTGGTCTGTTTACACACACACACAAACACACACACATCACACCGAACGGTCTTCGTCCGCCCTTCATTCTCCCATTTTCTTCTTTCTCATTTACTCATTCTTAATTTTTTTTTATTCCAGTGATTGACTGGCTGGAGGACACCGGGTCTCTGCTGCCCATTCTTGGTGAGTTGTTTTGTCTTCCAATTCATTCTGTTGCGGTCTCATTGTAACGTGTTTTCTTTTTTTTTGGTGGGGTGGGGGTTGGGGGAGGGTTGATTTGTATTCACGTGTTAGGTTATTTAGTTGTTGTTGTTTGTTTTTTGTTTCTGCTTAATTGTATTTTTATTTTCCTTTTATTTTATTTTTCTTATTCTTATTTTTTTTTATTATTATTTTGTTGTATTGCTCTGTTTATTTACTTGTCCTTTTTTTAACTTCTGTCTTTTGTTGTTGTTCAGTTAGTTTATTTTTACGAAAATTTGAATGAATTATTGTGTGTTTATGTTTTGGCTCATTTTCATTAGTGTGGAATAATTCATGTCTTTATTTCAATCTTTTTCATACTGTATATTTTATTTTATTTTGTGTAGCTTTAGTTTACCTATGATTATACGTAATCAGTTTCTATTACACGTTTTTTTTCGGACTCATTGATTCATTCCATGAGTGTATTCACACACACACATATGTAGATTAAGATTAACAATAAACACACACACACACACACACACACACACACACACACACACACACACACACACACACACACACACACACACACACACACACACACACACACACACACACACACACACATGTATGTGTGTGTGTTTATTGTTATCTTAATCTTCTTTTAACTCACACCAATCCTTCTTTTGCCTTCAAACCCCTTCTTTCGCACTTCCATATCTTTCCTCACATCGCGAACTCTTCCCCTCACACCCGCCATACCCTCCCACATTCCCCTCTAACCCCTCACACGATTTTTTTTGTCTCACTTGACTAAATTGTCTCCCATCTAAGCCCTCCCTTCTCCCTCCCACCCTACAACCCCGCTCCATCCTCTTCCCTCACTCCCCTCTTCCCTCTTTTCCTACTTATCCTTCATTCCCCTCACTCTCTTTCTCTCTCACCCCTCTTTCTAAACTGCTATCCTGGCGGACTGAATTTCCCCTCAACCCTCACAGTTCCCCCTCTCATTCTCCACGCACTCCCTCTCACAAAGGCTCCCCTCTCCTCATAGTTCCCTTTCTTCTTCCCCTTACTTAACCTACTCTCCCCTCTCATCCTCTCACTCACTTCCCCTCATAAACACTCCTCTCTCCTAGATCCCGCTTCATCCCTCCCCTTCCTCCTCACATAACCCATTCTTCCCCTCTCTCTAAGCCTCCCCTCCCCTCACGTTTCCCCTCTTCCTCCTCCTTCCCACCAACTCCACCCAAGAAAACCTTCCCTCTCCTGCCCGTTCCCCTCTCAGCCCTCCATTCCTTCTTTAGGCAACCCACCTACCCACCTACCCTCACATAAAATTTTCCTCTCTCCTCACAGCTCCCCTCTCACCCTTTTCCTTTACTATTAATTTCCCCCTCACAAAACTTCCCCTCCCTGATCTTCCCCCTCTCACCTCTCGTTACCTCTCACTTCCCTTATAAAACCTTCCTTCTCTGACCTTTCCCCTCTCACCCCCTTTACAAAACCTCCCCTCCCTGACCTTCCCCCTCTTATCCACTCATCCCCCTTACGCAAGCTCCCCTCTCTAGCTTTCACCTCTCATTCCCACTCACCCCCTTGAAAAACCTCCCCTCCCTGACCTTTCCTCCTCTGACCCCTCGTTCCCTCTCACTTCTCTCCCCTCTCACCCCCTTTACAACCCCCCCCTCCTGACCTTTCCCCTCTCACCTCTCATTCCCACTCACCCCCTTTACAAAACCCCCCTCCCACTCCCCTTTACAAACCCCCCCTCTCACCCCCTTTACAACCCCCCCTCTCTGACCTTTCCCTCTCACCTCTCATTCCACTCACCCCCTTTACAAAACCTCCCCTCCCACTCCCTTTACAAAACCCCCCTCTCACCCCCTTTCCCCTCCTGACCTTTCCCTCTCACCTCTCATTCCCACTCACCCCCTTTACAAACCCCCCTCCCACTTTCCCCTCTCACCTCTCATTCCCACTCACCCCCTTTACAAAACCCCCCCCTCACGGATCCCCTCTCACCCGCAGAGGAGTCCGCCCCACCGGCCTTGCCCATCCGCTACGACGACGAGGGCGGCGGCGGCGGCGGAGGAGGGGCGTGGGCTGAAGGGGGGGCGGAGACAGTTCACCTCCCGGGCGGCTGCACCATCTCCGACGCCCAGTATAGCCAGCTGAAGGATTTCATGAAGACGCCCAGTATTGAGAATTGGTGGGTTGGTAATACGTGTAATGGTGATAGATGATGATAATGATGATGATTGATAGGGTAGGTACGTTTCCGGTTGTTTAGTGATAGAGTCGTTACTGTTGTTATGGTTGTTGTTGATGGTTTGTGATGGTTGATTGTTTGTTATCGTTGGTGTTGTCATTGGTATCACTGTTTTTTTGTTTTTTTGTTTCCAATATTGGTATTATTATATTATTGTTGTTATTATTATTTCGTTGTCACTGTTGTCAATATTTTCTTACTATTTAATTCTCTCTCTCACTCTTTCCTTGTCTTTGCCTGCCTGTCCGTCTGTCTCTATCTCTCTTTCTCGCTCGCTATACATCTCTCCATCCCCTCTCTCTCCTCCTTTACCTCCTCTCCCTCCCTCTCCCGCTCTCCTGCCTCTCTCCATTTCTCCCTCTCCCGCTCACCCCTCTCTCAACAAACACATAACTAGGGGAAATATTACTCAAGAACCAAGGTGGAAGAAAATTTTGTTTACACAGTTGGATCTTGAGGGAAAACTTAAAGGAAGGGAAGAAGGGAGGCAGGGAGGAAGAAGGGAGGAAGGGAGGTAGGGAGAAAGAAAGAAAATGAAAGATTGAAAATGAAAGGGGAAAGAATATGGCCTTAATTCATTTTCGCATATATAGGTGCACATGTACAGTACGTGTGGCTGACTGGACGTATGTTTGCGAATGCAGACATAAGGAGAATTAAAGAGAGAGGGATATTGAGTGGAGGAGTGTATAGAAAATAAATGAGAGAGAGGGGAGAAAGGGATAAATGAGACAGAGAGAGAGAGAGAGAGAGAGAGAAGAGAGAGAGAGAGAGAGAGAGAGAGAGAGAGAGAGAGAGAGAGAGAGAGAGAGAGAGAGAGAGAGAGAGAGAGAGAGAAGAGAGAGAGAAAGAGGAGGGAGAGAGAGAGGGGGGGGGGAGAAAAAGAAAGAAAGGAAGAAAGAAAGAGAAAGAGAGAGAGATGGATATTAAGAGATTGCGCATTGTATGATGAATCTACCTATCATGTCAAATCATTAGTCACTGAATTACATATCTTCTCCATGAAATTAGGAAAAAAAAATCCACAAACTCTCCTCTCCTCAAATATATATCTATATATATATATATATCTATATATCTATTATATCTATATCTATATCTATATCTATATATATCTATATCTATCTATCTATCTATCTATATATCTATCTATCTATATATATATATAAAAGAATAGAAAATAAAAATGAATGTAAAATGAAATTAATTAAAGACAGATAGATAAAAAATAGAAGCAAACAGTGATAACAAGCAGATCACATGTTCAGCTACCTATTTAAATCAAATTTTTATCTAGACTTCCCATTTACGAAACTAAAATATCTCTATTTCTTTTCTTTACAGCATGTGCAGCAAAGGAGAAGTTGTCTGTGCTGTGAAGCTGTTCAAGACCTAGTGCAACATTGCAGCTTTTTGCAGAGGTTGATAGAAGAGTGCAATATTTTTTTTATTTTTTGTTATTGGTTCTTATTGTCATTATTGCTATTATTTGCATCATCAGTATTAGTTGTAATTATATGATTCATTGGTATTGTTATCATTATTGCTTTTACTATCATTATAGACAACATTGTCATTATCACTATTATTCTTATTCTTATTCATATTAATTGTTATAAAAACTCATATTCATGATGATTTATGGTTTACAATTAACTAGCTCTGTAAAGGTCACATTACTATTATTGTATATTAGATAAATGTCCTATGCTTGTTTTTTGCAATGATTGACAGGGAAAAGACATGGATCAAAGTCGACAATCCCATCATGCCATATATGCAATCACCATATGCACGACAATATAAAATCAAAATATTGATTAGGTATCTTAAATTGTAGATTTTTTTTTTTTTTTACACTTGTCGCACTTTTCAAGAAATATTTTAACCCAGCGATCTCTATGCTTTACATTATCATTCTGTATTCAAGAGAATTTTTGTTCATGTAAGTTATTTATGATATTTAAAAATCAAAACAAATATATGTGTTTGTTAGTTATTTAACATCTCTAACAACTTCATTTTGTTCGCATTTATTATATCTATAAATGTTGTTTTGATATAGTTTTTGTATCTTTTATTTAAATTAATGGAATTAGCATCACTGCCAGAGAACATTTATTTCATTTCATTACATTGCAATCACCCATGTTAAATGTCACACAGAAAGCGTGACGTCATACGTACGTCATCAATTTCATTTACATTGCCCTTTTTGGCGCCATGCTGGTGTTGTGACGTCATAGTTGCTCAGTGACGTCGCTGCCAAATTTCTGTAACTTTATACTGTTCTATGATGGATATGCTGAGTGCGACTAATATTACTCGTTAGCTTTACGCAGTTCTATGTAGGAATTTGGTTACATAATATATTTTCTGGTGATAATTATATGATAGAGGCGCCATCGAAAATAAAAGGGTTTAAAACTATGTCGAATGTAAGTAGGTTTATATTCGAGGATCAGGATTTAAGCTCTGAATGAGCGACATTCTCTGACTAGAAAAACGAGTTATGTTGATGTTTCTTTGTTTAAGCGTTGTCTTTTCATTTTTTTTTCTATGTCACAGCCTGAGTGTACTACATTTGTGTAACTTATTATTATTATGTTTCTGTCTCTCTCTTTCCCTCCCTTCCCTCCTCTCTCTCTCTCTCTCTCATCCCTTTTTCCTTTACCCCATTCCTCTGCCCTTCTTTCTCATCTTCGTCCTATTCTCCCTCCCCATCTCTTACTCCCTTTCCCCGACCCTCTCTCTCCTCCTCCCCCTCCTACCCTCCCCTCTCCCCCCTCCCCCTTCTTCCTTCCTCCCCTTCCCATATGCTCACAACAACAACAAACAGACGAGCCAATAAAAATGATATGAGGCAACTAACTGTCAAATTAAAAGAGAGATATAGGACAGTATTTAATTACCACATAAACCCGAGAAAAGGACGTTTCACCACCGCGTTCACTTGCGTCATGTAAAGAAAGGAGAGAGGGGGAGGTTCCACGACGTATGTTGCTCGGGTTGCATTGTGCAATAACGTCCAAGAGAGTGAAATGCGTCGAAAACAAGATAAAAAAAGATGCAGGACGGCTGGTATTTCGAGTCCGGGTTAACGGTGGGTAGTTCAGTAGTTTGGGAGCCGTTAGGGTTAGGATTCCGTTCTCGCTGTTGAGTGTTATGGCGTCTTGGCAGAGGAAGACGATACTAATAGCATGAGGATATGTGAGCAACATGTTTACGCCATTTTTTTTCGGTCAGTTATTGCAGCTCGGCTCCATCGGTCAGTTTGTTAAATTTGCGGGAAGTCCGACCCAATTTCACATGTATGGACTTGCATATACACAGAAATAAATGCTTATGTCTATGTATTTGGCATATATATATATATATATATATATATATATATATATATATATATATATATATATATATATATATATAGACACACACACACACACACACACACACACACACACACACACACACACACACACACACACACACACACACACACACACACACACACACACACACACACACACACACACACACACACACACACACACACACACACTTATCTACCTGCCCGGCAGATATGCATGTCTAGACTGATAGGTATGTATCTATATCTATGCATATACATATCTATATCATGAAAATTCATTGGTTCGGGTAATTTTAACAAACCGGTTGTATGTGACACGGAAATAAACAATAAAGTATATTGGTATAAAAATGAACGGAGGGGATGCACCGAAGAGTATATTATATTTTCGAGTACGAGAAGGAGAACCAAGATAAGTAAAATGTCAAGAATGAAGTGAGAAGAACAGAGGAAAAGGCAGGTAATGAAATAGCACATAACAGCAACTGGCAAATAAGATTGTGAGCTTCACAAAAGACCTGTTGGCTTGACTGAATTTATGTCATACAACACTTACCTGTCTTTGATTAGGACTAAAGGTGTTAAGAACAGATTATCACTTTTCAGAAGTTATGATTGAGAACGACTAAAGAAAGAGTACATATGATCTAACAAAAGTGGCTGAAGGTTCTACTTTCAGCTGTTGTTCCGAGCATTTTTTGTTCTATTCATTAGCGTAGGGCTTGCGAAAAAAATACTTTCAACATTTTAACAAATATAAGCGTTGTTATTAACTACCACAAAAAAGAAAAGGGCTAGAGAGAGAGAAAAAAAAAAAGAATGAAAAAAATATGTATTTATATATATATATAGAAAATATTTTAACAAATATAAGCGTTGTTATTAACTACCACAAGGAGTAGAAAAGGGGTTAGAGAAAAAAAAAATTATTGAGTTTTTAATGGCCATTCCAGAACATAATAGAAGACAATGCTCGCCAACATTCACAAACTTGTTTATGCATCCTCCCCATGATTTATGCGATTAAATAAACATCTGTTATTGTAATTGTTCCCTCTTCACATACAGAAGCGAGCTGTAGTAGGTGGCCGACACAGATGTAAACATATCACTCACACTTAACGTTTTCTTTGTACATCAAGAGGAACACTTCAATCAAAGGCTGAGTACTTTAGAAACGAATAGTTTGTTGTGCGGATAATCGGTAGAAAATAGAGCCCTTAGATTTTTTAAAGTGCCGTGAAAATAGACACGATTATGAAGAGGAAATAAAGCAACAGTTGGGCAGATAATGACCACCGTATCTCCATCGTCTAAGAAAATATAAGTATTAGGACTTGGGCATCACAAACTGAATTGATCTTATGAAAGTACCGAAAGACCTGAGAATGACTGAGTGTCTCCAGGACAGAGTAGTGCTGCTGAACTCATATTTTGAATGAATCCCACAACCAGACCCGACCTTCCACGCCCCTTGCCTCACGGGTGCACAGAGCAGGTGAACAGCATAAATGAGGAATTGTCAATCCCTCCGAGATAATGACGGCAGAGGAATCATCACAATTAAAGGCCTTCATCCATTCTGTGTACATTGTAGGCGAGGTGTATTGACGCACGTTTCGCTGGGCTTCACCTTAACGTGAGACTAGGAGGAGAAAGGTCAGTGTGTCAGCAGTTGCTTAAAGTTGGAAAATATGATCTCCAGAAAGATGCATTCGTACTATGATGTGCAAATATTGTAGATACCCTGTGCGTTGTTCACAGGTTCAAACTAATGCGTTCTTTTTATTATCTCGCATGAAAACAATTATATTGGAATTTAAAGAAGTAGTGGACGCAACACTGCACATGCACGTACAATTCTAACCGTTGTCACAGATTCATTTAGCTGGAATCATCTAGTCAGTTTGCATGAGAGTAAGATGCCCCTGGCGCATTAATAATTGAATGTTATGGCACACTACAGGGGCATCCTTTACCTGGCATATGGTGGGAACCCTTCAGCAAGCGATGGAGAACAATTACGCTTTATACCTACACAGGGGTCGAACGGAGAGAGTTAAGGGCTTTATCCAAATCTGACACAACATCGGTGTTTATGAAGCCTCATCTGACAACAGACCGGTACAAATGGAAGCCCTTATTAAAAAATTAAAAGGTAAAGAATCTCACAATGTAAAAGTAATCAAACATGGTCGCCTCATCATATTTTGCCATGTTAATCCATGAATTTTTAGTAAGTGTATTGGGTAGGTTCAGACTGGCGGACTTAGTACTAGAATCACAGAATTCATATAAGGATGTGTAGCGGCATTTTCAGGTTTACAAAGAGTGTCCAGATCCACGGTGCTGCCACCAGACTATAACCAGTGAGGTGTTATTACACTATGGTGGTTGCATCACCCTAGAAAATGTGTAAATACTTGTATTTTACATTCGTGTATGGATGAGAAATGTATTAAAATGGTTTAGAGGGCAGATGAACTAAAGTCGGTTTAGGAATTAAGGTGCAGGCAAAAAGAAATGTTTAGATATTTGTTGGTTTGCCTTAGTACAGTCACACTCAGTATTTCAACAAACCAACCTTGACAGTGAGTTTGCCAAACAGATATTTTTTTCTTCCTTCATAGCTTTTCCTCTCTCTCTCTCTCTCTCTCTCTCTTCCTATATTATAAGTGTTGTGTACAGAAAGTCGTATAGATTATAGCACTGTTTTGATAGGGTTGTATAATATACAGTATATATTTTCCTACCAATAGCTAGGGTCTTTAAGCTGTCAATACAAGGTTGTTTTTATATGTAACAATGGAGTAAATTGGTACTATGAATCAAGTTGTTTCAATATCCCAACTTCTACGAATGTTATAAAAGTGACGATGACAACTGTGTCCTGTATTTGAGTTCAGAACATTCATTATCTGATAATTCATCTTACAACTGTTATAATGATTTAGTTTTGTAATAAAGAATAGGTTACATATTTGTGGCAAAGAAACCTAAAATTATTATAAATGGTATTTAGTATAGTGGTAAGAGTTTTTAAGTATACGAAGGAGAGTACATACAGATAGAAAAAAAAATGCATTGAAACTCAGTCAATAGAAAGAAAACATGAAAGATATACAGTAAATGATCAAAGCAAAAACAAATCATGCTTACGTAATGTGAACTAATTAAGCTTCACTACACATTTGCGAAGCTGATTATAATGCCAGAATGACTTCAAGAACGCTCGTCTGGACTCTGGACCCCTACATACGGTACAGAAAATGGAATTACGAATTAAGATTGCCCATTTCTTTTAGTTTCCAATGTAATAAGCATGCAGTGAAAGAAACAAACAAACAACAATAACAAAACATTTCAAAAATGACAACAAAAACATGAAAAAATGTAAAAAAAACAGCCAGTCTACTGATCTTTCACTGTCACTGCCGCGCAATTCTTCAGGCCCCTTTGTCTGTAATATGGGTCAGACATATGGAATTGCGCAGTAAAGAAATTTATTTGTTATTGTAAATAATCAATAATACTTCTGTATTACTGCTGTATTGTCCTCTTTAAAAACAGAAACGTATTCTCCTTCGTGTAACGTTATGCGCGCTTTATTTACGCACGAAACTCAGTTATTACAACAAATGTACAAAAACGTACAAACGGCATCATTGTTTTCTTAACAAAAGGAAGGAAAAGACATCAGGTGGCGATTTTTTAAAATATTGAAATGTGACTCACTTGCTGTATCGATTGTTTATATAATTTTGCGTTTAAAAGAAGGCTGTATGAAACTGAACCAGTACCAAAATGAATATATCAATATATCTTAATAGCTAAGGGAGAACAGAAAAAATAAAATTAATAAAAGGCTGTTGAAGCGAATCCCCCCAAATTAAAATAGTTTTCCATTACTAAACGTTTTCTTTGAGTAGTACCCCATATTCCAACTCAAGGGGTAACTGTTATTATTACGATGCCTTTGACAATTCGTGTAAATATCAGTATATATATATATATATATATATATATATATATATATATATATATATATATATATATATATATATATATACAAAACGCGACAAGAGGTTGCAGTGGCATCGGCTACAGTTTATCTGATGACGTGAGGCGGTAATTGGGGAAGCTGCGTCTGACAACAAAGCTGGCCACACATACACACACACACACACACACACATACATAGTTATATGTATGTATGTATATATATATATATGTATCTATGTATATATGTATATATATACATATATATACATATATATATATATATATATATATATATATATATATATATATATATATATATATATATGTATATGTGTGTGGTGTGTCTGTATATGTACATGCACACACACACACACACATACACACACACACACACACACACATACTATATGTATGTATGTATATATACAGTATATATGTACTATGTATATATATGTATATATACATATATATACATATATATATATACATATATATATATATATATATATATATGTATATATGTGTGTGTGTGTGTGTGTGTGCGTGTGTGTATGTACATCACACACACACACACACACACACACACACACACACACACACACACACACACACACACACACACACACACACACACAACACACACACACACACACTCATCACGCCATCTATAAGCTTTTTCTGTCTGTTATCTTATTTCCCCTTTCTATCAGAAAACCAAAGCACTTAGGAATCGAACCCTATTTCCCACGCCTCGAAGGCAGGTGTTGCACCCATTCGCCATTTTGGATATTTTCTAAAATGCTATTTGGGATTCCTAACCTGCTGGTTCTGTATTTTATCCGTAGTTTTATCTTCTTTATTTGTTTGTTTTTTGGTTTGTTATATGACAACATTAAAAATGCACTCTCGCTTTTTGTCAATGTTCCCCCGGTACATATGTTCCCCAATACTTATATTCCCTACAAAGTGTGGTACTGCAACATTCTCTGAAGGTTTAGTACTAGGCTATCTTGATCATCAAGGCCTATATGCATACACTAACGTTACCATATCACAGGCCTTGATATCGATATTTGCTTGTTTTATAGGATTTTAAATCGGCGCTGACTCTTCAACGTCCCAATCACAGCCCGGCTTGAAATAGCGAGCTGACAAGTAAATGATGGTGTTTGATTGGACAACTCACCTGTTAACTCGACAGTGTGACAACCTCCTGTCGATGTACAGACCTGTATGGTGTAAAGAATAAAATAAAGGCAAATCAGGCTATGTAATGCGTTGCATGACGTTATACATTCAAAACAAGCCAGTGTGTTTCAAAATATCAAGGCTTGTTGCTGATAGCCAAGGGGTTTAGAGATTCTCATGGCAGAAGCAACAAGCTTTGAAAAGTTAAATTTTAGTTTTTTTTTCTTTTTTCTTTTTTTGTCATGACCAAGAAAGAAGGACGGGTCTCCAAACTTGAGCACATTCTCACATATGAAGGACGACTAGATGAGGTCATAGGCCATTGATCCTGACCTACATTTCAAGATCACATAAGGCAAATTTGGATTCCAGATGATGTGTTGTTACAAAATAGAATTAAGAATGCCTGATCACGTTTTTCGCTAGCAAGAGCCGTTGGATAAGCGGTCACAGAAGTCCTGTCAATGACATTGACACAATTTTTAAAATCACAAAAGTCTGCCAGTAACAATGTCAAAAACAAAATAAGCGAGGAAAAAAAATGGCAGACAATCTCTGTGTGAAGCCTACGTGAC